GTGTGTGTGTGTGTGTGTGTGTGTGTGTGTGTGTGTGTGTGTGTGTGTGTGTGTGTGTGTGTGTGTGTGTGTGTGTGTGTGTGTGTGGGTGTGTGTGTGTGTGTGTGTGGGTGTGTGTGTGATTGTGTATTTGTGTGCGTGTGTGTACATGTGCTCGTGTGTGTGTGCGTGTGTGAGAGCATGTGTGCGCTTGTGCGTTTGTGCGTGCGTGTGTGCGCGCCCGTACACGTGTGTGTTTGCTACTTCACTCACCTATGAACGTCCATATCCTGCGAACCCAGATTTTCGTCAGATATTCACCCGTGATCATGAAGTCGGCGATTACTCCTGAGACGTTTTGTGCTATGTACGCTGATATGTAGGGCAGTGCCGACAGCACACCATTCTTGAAAATCGAGTAAGCAGCAAGTAATGCATTGGTACCGCCATCACAACGTCGTCTTGCGTATAGTGTTTAGGGATCATCGTTAAGGCATATAGTAACGGGTTGACGAGCACTGGGTAAACGTTAAGCAGTTCATATACTCTCGCTAAATACTGTCTGCACTAACGAAAATGGTACTTTTTATAGTTCGTTCGTCGCTAACACGTACGATAATGCTCTAGAAAATATGAGACAAGCTGATGTCGATTGATATAATATATAATAAATATATAATTATATATATATAATACATATATTATGTATTATACATAATGTAAAATAATATATGATTGATATAACATATAATAGGGACTATACAGGAAGCAGGATTACGTAATGACGTGAGCTCTCGCATGCTACACATTACTGTGGTCGTCTCCATTGATCACTGATAACCGCACTCACCGATGTCATATCGTATTTGAGAACCTCGAACATGTACGTGGGTAGGTTGGTGAGCATCATGTAAAGGCCCCACGTATACGTCAGATATGTGTACGTCAGCAGCCATACTGTCGGTGACGTCAGTATCTTGTCCCACGGAATTTCCTTGTGCTAGACGAAGCAGTAACAGCGTCTTGAATCGGCTTGAGACATGCCTCTAAGCGTTTTCCATTAAATTTCAGAGGTTTTAGAGATGATAGGGATGGATGTTACACGATGCTTCATAATCGGGGGAGGTAATTAAACTGTAATAAGCACCAATGATGGATTTATGTATGGTTGAAAAAATGGGTGGATGGATAGATAGATAGATGGATGGATGGATGGATGGATGGATGGATGGATGGATGGATGGATGGATGGATGGATGGATGGATGGATGG